CTGTACTCTCGAGACTTTCTTGCGGTTGGTTTAGATTCTTCATGAAGTTGTATACTTTAAGGTCATGTTTGATTGGATGGATTAGAGCATGAGATTGGAATTATTAATTTGTGAGCCCAATTATCTTATGTTTGTTTTAACATTTGCGTTTAGGATTATTAATCCAATAGATAATTAATCCAATAAATTTGTAGAATTATTAGTAATAGGGTAGGGGTGAGATTATTAATCCAATCCTATTAATCCAATTGGATAGTGAATACCACACTAATTTGATAGGATTATTAATATCTCACTATTAGTCTTGTAAATCAAACATGGCCTAACAGTCTATAGATTCCACAACTGACAAGTAATATTTGGCTGCTGCAGCTTACAGCATTCTCCATCTTTCTGAAACTGTCACATCATACACAAATCTAATTTAATTACGACAAAATAATAATATAAACAAATTATAGAAACCATCTTACCTCTTTACCCATGATATTGTCAATACTAATGATAAGAGTCACAATATTTGGTGAATGCCTTAGCATGTAGGCAAGTCCAGGTATCTTCCATTTCATCAAATCTGTCTTTATCCTTAGACATGTGACATCGAAGGATAGATAATCTAGACTTTGCTCCTCTGTAGTGGAAAATGCCTGACCATTTGTGGACCAAAAACAAAGAGATTAAAGCAGAGAAGCCAAAAGCTTGGAAAAATAAATGATTGTTAAAGGACTTGATGTTTGTACCCCAGTGTAGCAGCTACACAATCTAAGATCTTTAAATTGACAAACAGCTTCAAGAATCTTCACAATGGTATATCCCTCATCATCTGCATAGTGCCAACAATGCAACCGGAGGCAATAAAAGCTTGCACTTTCAAAAGATTGCATTCTCTTGATGACAAGGTTTTTCCTAGATATGGTTGTAAGAAGTTCAAAGGAAACTATATATGGAGCATAAACCTCTAAACTAGAACTTGAATGGCAATAATAACTATCATGTAGCTTTAAGGTCTTCATACCAACACTCATGCTTTTGGCAATCTGTCAGAGATACATTTTCAAGGATTGGACTAGAAGATATCAAATCATTAATAGTCCCACCAGAAAACTGGACTAGCTCAAGCAAAAGGATTTTAAGGGAACTGAGTTTGAAGTTGATAGGAAAGTTTATAGAACATCTTTTCAGTGCCAAGACGGTCAGCGATCTACAGCTGAATATAAACTAAGGCAACCTATAGCAATCAAGAGATAGAAAGTGCGGGCCTTCATTGATGAAATCAAGATAGAGTTCGTTCACATTGCGTGTTAACGCAAAGTGGATCCACCAATCAACTAAGTGAGCATCTGCATTGCTGTATTTGAAAGTGATGTTCAACTTCTGAATTTCGGGACCCTTGTAACAAAGCAAAGTTCGATTGATGAAAACTACTTCTTTCTGTCTTGACACTTCCATAGGTGAAAATTTTAAACAAGGTACAGATAACCATATATATCTCCACCTCTTTGCCAAAACTCTGGTCCTGATCATATCTTTTATTGTCAAGTATGAAAAAATGTGGTGAAGTAAAGGTTCTGGCAATTTGGTAAGACAATCATGTTTCTCCTCAACCTTCTGGACCTTCTTCTTCTTCTTCTTTGAAATCTTTAGCTTTTTTATTAAAGCCTTTGCCTCCATGACCTTGCAAATCCTCAGTAAAGGGTAAATACTTCCTCACCTTAGATGCCTCTATCAATACAAACCCAAAAACAACTTTTAGTTGAAGAAACAAAAAGACATCAGAACTAATTTGTGAGTAATAAATTGAATAACATTTTTGGTTTGGAGTAGTTTTGCGAGTTTGTAATTCGTATTTTTGTATTTTTAGTGATTTTTTAAATATTTTAATCAATTTTTTTACATTTTAGATTCAATTAATTTTGAGGGAGATTTATTAGAAAATCCTTTTTCAAGGATTTATATTTTAATTAGCCCATAAGATATTCTTGTATTCTAATAAGTCTTATTATTTGAACATTTGATCTACAAAATCATAATTCTCATATTTAAGGTATTTTATGGACATTTCTACCCTTACAATTATTTTTTGAACGGTTAGCAATTTGGTGATATGAATATTCATATTTTACAATGTGAATATTTACATTGACGTGTGAATGTTCACATTGATATGTTAACATTCACATTGATGGTGTAAACATTCACATTGACAGTGTGAACATTCACATCACGGAATATTTGCACTGTAAATATAAATATTATTAGAGGTATTTTGGTAGTTATGTCACCCATAGAACTTGTTAGAATATAAGAAAATAATGTGGACTAAATGGAACATAAGTAGGTGAAAAATGATTTATGAAAAAGTGCCCTTAATTTTGATATATTTAAATGTATAAAATTTAAATAAAAATCTTTAAAATTCATTGAATACAACAAAATACGAAAATATACTGAATTTTCATATATTTTTATATTTGGTGAATTTTTTAAAGTTTTTTCTTTCACAAGTTATATACTTTTTAAGTATATTTAGATTAGGTGACTCTAAAAAATAAAAAAAAAAATTATGTAAAATATTAAAAAAATTCACTTAAAAAAATACGAAAAATAAAAACTCAATTTTCAAAAAAAAACAATCATAACCAAACAAGGTGTCACTATTTTCCCGAATTACAAGTAACGGAAAAAATAAATGTTAGGAGAATCTAATTGACTCCATCGCAGCTCTCTCTCTCTCTCTCTCAAATATATATATATTTTTTTCACTTTATAAATTGTGAGGAAGTATTTTGTGAATAATAGCACGTGGCTGAGGTAAGCTGAAATGTCAGCCGAGATGCCACGAGGCCTGGATGTGCTGTCGAGATGATCTTAGTTGAGCTGAGGTTATCTGCGGAGATACCAGAATCGGAGATAAGCGGATAAAGGGACAAGAATCCTAGATGAAAGAGGGTTATCGTTTGGATAAAGATAAAACTCTCAAGGAGTTTATCCTTATTTAGCTAAAACTCTGAGATAAGCATTATATGCTTGAGTCTTATGAAGTGAGGCTTTCAGGTTACTGCTGGTTATAAAAGTAAGGCACTCTCGTGGGTTGAAAATAAATTCTTTATTGTGAATTTAAGCATAATTTGCTGTCTTTGAGAAATATTGATCTTGACTTGATTGTCGGAGTGTCCCCAGATGGATAAACCACCGCGGAATTTTCAGGTTGTTGGGCTTAATCTATTCTGCCGATGTTCTCCAGCTGAGTTCCCCATTTAGTTGTATGGTCAAAAATCAACACCTACATAAATATATCTATTGTTTTACTTTATAAATAAGAAATCCCAAAAAAACCAACAGAAAAGGGAGAGAAAAAGAATGTTATGTCAAGACCTATAGAATTCTGTACAAATCTCTCTCTCTCACACACACGCACACAAATACAACGTACAAATAATGTAGCACGCTGTACAATTACAAAGGCACTTTACCTGATTTCAAGACTTGAGGAAATGTTAGTATCCAAACAAATGCTTCAATAAGGGAAACAGAGCACTCCAGTATGCAAAATCCCGCAATTCCAACCAACCAGGAAAAAGGCTAGCATTAGCGACAAAATTAAAAAAAATCTGATTTGTAACTCCAGTATACTCTCTCCGTCTCACATTATTTGTTTAGTACCAAATATAAAATCTTAAAACTAGATAACATTAAATAAAATAAATACTATAAAGGAAAAATTAATTAAACATTCCCCTCTAACTGTGTGTATTACAAGATTTCAAGATGTATTTTTTTAATTAGCTAAGGTCCTTTAACATTTTTATAGAGAAAATTTGACTCAGAGAAATTTTGTCCGATTGAGAGAAATATCGGACCCGATTCGGAGAAATGTTAATTTTCATAGAGAATTTCTCTGTGAAAATTGAAATTTCTCCGAATCGGATAAAATTTTTTTGAGTCGAATTTTCTTTGTGAAAATGTTAAGAAACCTTAATTACTATAACAATATTATAAATCATTTATCTTATAAAATCTTAATATTAGGGACCTTAAAATTTTTTTTCCTATTATAAAATTAGTAATTTTGCAATTGAATTAGTACAAAAAATATAATATATATAATCATTATGTTCTAATTCAAACACTCTGTTTGTTTCATCAAAAATTATTTTCTTTAAAAAATAATTTCCTTTTCATATACTTAGTTGAAAGGGGCGTTGACGACAATAGTGGCACTTATAAAGTGTTGGCGGTGATGGTGGTAGTAAGATGTGTTGTTTGTAAGATTGTAGTTCAAAATATGTTTCCACCTTTCTAAACTAAAAAAATATTTTCTTCCAAATAAACTAGTTGTTTGTTGATTTTAACAAATGGAGCATTAGATGAGTTTATTTTTATATTAAATGTATTTTCTTTATATAAATTAAAAGAAAAATTAGGACTAGTCTCTTTACAAGTTTTCTATCAAGTTCTAGTCTACCAAAAATTTGTTTACTAGTTAAAATTATTAGGATTCTAAATTTTAGAATAATAAAAAAGTTATTTAACATAAATGGTCAAAAATATTCTTACCAACTTAAAAATCTTAATGCAAACAGGTCCCAATTATCTACCAACTTCGCAATCTAGATCTAGATCGTTGTTCGCCATTAACCGTTTCAAACTACCATTTGCCGGTCTAGATTTCCAAAGTAGTTCAACGTTCATCTCTGCCACCATAACCTATGCATCCAACGTTCCCCAACCACCATCTTACTTGCTGGTTCAACTTTGTATATTTATTTTTTCAAGAAAATAGGAAAATAATCTTATTCCCAATAAGACACAAAATTATAAATGAGAAAAAGAGAAAATACAAAAAACAAAAAATTTGAGTTTATAGCTAAAAACACTCAAACAAAAAACAGAAAAAATGAAGTTTTAGGAGCCTAAACAGTGAAATTTGAAACCCCCCCACCCAAAACAAAAATAAATAAATAAATAAATTAAATTAAATAAAATAAAGGCCAGCCAAGTTCACAACGAAACTGACCGTCTTGGATCCAAAGTCAAAAAACAACTTTATTTTAGCATAACAAAAGTATCATCCAACCACATGCATATTTCAACATTAATTTGTTCCTTTCATGATGCGTATTTTTCCCAAACATAGTTATGCTATAGCAACTGCAAAACCTAATATAAACAAGTCATACTGATATAAACCCCCATCCAAAAAAGAGAGCAAAAACATAAAAGGGCTTCAAATTGGATACATTCATTGTGCAGGGACGATGCAGTAAGTTTAGCAAAAGTATCCAAACCTTGATTCCCTTCCTTGTATACAAAAAGAAAGTTCATGTTATGGAATTCCAGGAGGAGACCGAAGGCAGTCCTGCAAATATATTTGAGCATCCCGAGAGGCTCTGGGGAATGCTAGTAATTCCTGAGTAAGACGAGACATCAGCCTTAACTTCAGACCATCCCACTTGCCAAACTTAGTCTTCTTATAGTTTGTAATGATCATTCTCTCCAACACCTTTGAGTTTTTGAGCAAGAATTTCAGAAAATCCATACAATTTTGTAGCAGCTCAAGGAGTTCCTTGGCTGTACTCTCAAAACTTTCTTGAAGTTGGTTTAGATTCTCCATGAAGTAGCATACTTTAACAGTCTTTAGATTCCACAACTGATCTATAAAATTTGGCTCCTGCAGTTTCCAGTATTCTCCAACTTCTAAATCGTTACTCAGCTGAAAATTGTGAAACGATCACATCATAAACAAATCTAATTGAAATACAACAAAATAATAATAAATAAACAAATCAAAGAAACCATTTTACTTCTGCACACATTTGTATTGAACAGCTCACCCCTTTATCCCTAATCTTGTCAATACTAATGATCAGAGTCTCAATATTTGGTGAATGCCTTATTATGTAGGCGATTCCCGGTAGCTCCCACTTTGTCAACTCTGTCTTTATCCCTAGACATGTGACATCAAAGGATAGAAAATCTACACTTTGATTCTCTGAAGTGGAAAGTGCCTGAGCATTGTGGACCAGAATCAAAGACAGCAACGCAGAGGAGTAAAAAGCTTAGAAAAATAAATGATTGTCAAAGGAGTTCATGTTTGTACCTCAGCATAGCAGCTACACAATCTAAGATCTTTAACATGATGAACAGCTTCAAGAATCTTATGAGTACTATATCCCTTGACCTTATCATATCGCACACATGGCACTCGATCGCAATAAAAGCTTGCACTTTCAAGAGATTGCATTCTGTTGATGACAAGGTTTTTCCTATACAGGCTTCTAACAAGTTCCAAGGAAACTGTATGTGGAGCATAAACCTCTAAATAAGAACTTGAATAGTAAGAACTACCATTTATCTTCAAGGTCTTCATACCAACATTCATGATAGAAAGATTGAGGCTGTCATCCTTTTGGCAATCTGTCAGAGATAAATATTCAAGGATTGGACTAGAAGATATCAAATCATTAACAGCCTGACTAGAAATGTCGACCAGATCAAGTGAAAGCTTTTTTAGGGAACTGAGTTTAAAGTTGATCGGAAACTTTATGGCGCATCTTTTCAGTGCCAAGACAGTCAGCGATCTACAGCTCAATATAAAGTGAGGCAACCTGTAGCAGTGACGAGATGGGTCTCGCGCGCCTTTGACGAGGAAATCAAGATAAAGTTCATTTACATTGCGTGTCAATGCAAAGTGCATCCACGAATCGACTTGGCAAGCGCCATCATTGTTGTATTTGAAAGTGATGTTCAACTTCTGAATGTTGGGACCCTTGTGAAGAAGCAAAGTTCGATTGATGAAAGCTACTTCTATCTGTCTTGACACTTTCATAGGTGGAAATTTTATACAAGGGACATATAACCATATATATCTCCACCTCTTTGCTAGAACACTTGTCCTGATCACATCTTTCATTGTTAAGTATGACAGAATGTGGTTAAGTAAAGGTTCTGGCAATTCGGTAAGATAATCATGTTTCTCCTCGAGTTTTTTGGCCTTCTTCTTCTTCGAAATCTTTAGCCGCTTTATATTTGTTGCCTCCATGACCGTGGAAATTCTTAAAGGGTAAATTCTTCCTCACCTTATTGACCTACAAAACCCAAAAACAACTTTTAGTTGAAGAAACAAAAAAAGCATCAGAATAGTTTGTGAGTATAATAAACTGAAATTACTATTTCACCCAAATTAGAATTGGAGAATACATAAAGACTAAGAGAGAGAAACTAATGGACTCCATTGCCACGATTTCTCTCTTATCTCTCCCTTTTTTCACATATTTTCTTTCCACATATTTTTTTCCCTTGATGAATAACAAACTATAAGGACTGAACAACTCTCCAATCCTTGATCCAGACCTATATCAAACTTAAATTAGGGTAAAAACCACTCAAAATACTCTTGACTCTTGTAACAAAATTGAGTTTTACTAAATTTTTACCAAATCAAGGGACATTCAATTGTTAAAAGTCCAAAAATTTTAAAAATTGTTTTGTGACTGTCAAATTTAACACTTTGCCATTAGTGAAGCATTTAGAGGATATCACTCATAAAATTTAGAGTAAACAACATTTTTTTCCCTCTATCTCTTGATCCAAATTTTACTTTGGTCCCTATTATTTCAATTTAAATAATTTAGTCCTTACACTTGAAGTCTAATTTTAATTTGCCCATTCAACCTAGTTTTTTATTTATTTTTGGTACTTTTACATCACAAAGTCATTAATTTTAACCTTCAACTTGAACAGAATGACCAAATTGAAATGAGACTTAAAATGTATGGACCAAAATGTTGAATTTGAAACAATAGGAACCAAATGAAATTTGAGTCAAACTATAAGAGTTAAAATTGTAATTTATCTTAAAATTTAAATTTGCTGAAAAACTTAGTGAAAATGAGATCCTACCATTTCATCAAAACTTGTATGAAATAAAGTTTTCATCAAATCATATATGAATCAAATCTTTCATCAAATTTTCAACAATCTTCTTTCACTTAATTTGATAAAATTGTTAAAAGATGAATGATTGGAGATGGGTTTTTGAGATAAGTTAAATAATTTAAAAATATTTGATTTTCACCATTGGATTGAATTATATCAAATCAAGATTTTGGTCTAAATTCTTGAACAAAGTTTGATGAACAAATATAAAAAAAAAAAATGAAAGGTTGGAGATGCTTAAAGGACAAATTACCAGTCCCTAAATCTGACCCTTTTATCATTTTGCTTCCACATTTTTAATTGACACAATGAATTGAACTAAATTGAGACAAAATATAAATTTAGGATCAAAATCGAAGTAATTAAAATTCTATAGATCAAAATGAAATAAGAACCAAATATAGGGACTCTTTTTTCACTTAATTTGATAAAAATGTTAAAAGACGAATGATTGGAGATGGGTTTTGAGATAGGTTAAATAATTTTAAAATATTTGATTTTCACCATTGGATTGAATTATATCAAATCAAGATTTTGGTCTAAATTCTTGAACAAAGTTTGATGAACAAATATAAAAAAAAAAATGAAAGGTTGGAGATGCTTAAAGAACAAATTACCAGTCCCTACATTTGACCCTTTTATCATTTTGCTTCCACATTTTTAATTGACACAATGAATTGAACTACATTGAGACAAAATATAAATTTAGGATCAAAATCGAAGCAATTAAAATTCTATAGATCAAAATGAAATAAGAACCAAATATAGGGACTAGCAATATAAGAATCAAATTGGATTAAAATTTTGAGTAAGGGGTTGAAGATGGCTTTACGTACCTTCAAATAACTTGTTCTCCACCTAGTTCAAGAAGTGAATCAGATGAAAAGCCATAAACTTGCAGCATATAAAAACCCTAAGCCTTTGGAGCATGAACTAGTAAGTCTTCAATAAACCCTAACGCGATCGCTTTCGTCGGTTATATTCTTCTGAATATGTGCTACCGTACTTGGGATTCAGGGGCAATGCAAATCCTTTGAGATAACAATTAGGTGATTTTTATACTCTTCCTCAATTTATGGCCCATTGGCTTAATTCAGTCCAAATTTATAGAGAGAAAAAAAATGTAAATTTTATAAAAATTAATAATTAAAATCATTTTTTTTTTTTTCATGTATTTGTAAATATTTTTCTTATAAACTAATGGATTGTAATTGTTCCTAAAAATTATACTCCACCAAATTGAAATAGTAGACATAGTAAATAATTGAAATAGAAATTTTTTATAGGAATTTTTTTTAAAAAAAAAATCAGAATTTGATTATTGTAAATTTTGAATTTTGTTAATTTTATCAATTTAAACGTTAATCTTTTGATTTATTTTTAATTTAAATCATTAGTCTATTTTTGTTAAGTAAAATGGACGAAAATAAAATATTTTAGTAATTCTCAAGAAAAAGAATATTTTAAACATTTTATGTACACTTATATTGAATTTAATTACTAAAATATATATTTTTTCTATTAGTTTTTTACTTAACAAAAATAGACGAATGCATAAATTGTAAACAAATCAAAATATTAGGATTTAATTGATAAAATTAACAATTTAAAGTTTATTTTGTTGTAAAAACCAAACCCTGAGTTTCTTTCTTTCTTTCTTTCCTTTTTTTTTTTTTTGTTGGTAATTTTTGTAATTTTTATTTTTACAAATGTTGCTTTTGAGTAGCTTTATACAAAATGATAGTGATTTATTGTAATTGCACCATTTAAAAACACAAAATCCAATATCATTATAATCATCTATTCTATTATTAAAAGCCAACACCAACTTTGGTGTCATGAAGCCTAGCTTAGAATTTTTTCCAATTTTTCCTAAAATGACCATAACTTCTTCAATAATTATATTATTTTTACACTTATATCAGTTTGTAGTTAAGGGTAACATGGGAAATTTAAACCAATCAGTTTCACTACTCCACATTTTCCACTACCCCACGTTTCTAAACTGCACAGCAGTTCCAAATCAGGTGACACCAGTTCCAAATCAAGTTCAACATCTTCCAAAAAGTGCCGAACATCTTCGTTGCATTTTCCATTTGTTTTGATTTCATTCAAAAGTTCTGTCCATCATCTTCCAAAAAGTGCCGAACATCTTCGTTGCATTTTCCATTTGTTTTGATTTCATTTAAAAGTTCTGTCCATCTTCATTGTATTTGGTAAGTTCTCTTCTGAAAGTTATCCATATTTGGTAAGTTCTCTTTCGTATTTGGTTCATCCGATTTCAATTTCACATGTTATGTTATGTGTAGGTATTCTAGACAAAGCATCAAAACTAAAGTGTTGAATTTAAAAATAGTATTAGAGTGGTGCCGTATTAATATGGCACTTTAAAAAGAAAAAACTTGACAAAGGATCAAAACTAGGTGTTGTATATCAAACAGTAACATATATGGAAGGAGATCGCTCACTGGGATGACTTTCTAGCAGCCCAATCAACCCAAGAATCGGCCTTATCCTCCTCTGCATCTTCTGTGAATTTCATGCTCTCTGCAGTGTTCCTCTCCCCAACACCAACACAACTCCACCAACACCGCCGCCGCTGCCGCCGCAACAACAACAACAACCACCCACATTATCAACCTCTCCAGAACGGAATGATTATGTAGTTTTGTTTTGGATGCTATACATAGGAACAGTTTCTTGTAGCTGTAGTGTGTGTGTCATCTTCCCTTTTTTATTTGGTTAGTTTTGAACATCTTCACTATTTTGCATGTATTTTGCATTTGTTTCTATATGATTATTGGTTTTAATAATAGAATAGATAGATGGGTGTGCTTTATATTTTCTGTACTCAAAAGTTCTGTCCAATTTCTATATGATTAAGTGGTGAGTACTTATTCCAATTCTTTTTTTTAAAAGCTTTTGGTGATTGTGTGTTTGTTGTAGATTCTACAACAAGGACGAGGTCGGAAAAACAGTAGCCATAATAGTAGGTGTCTTGGCCGGTCTCGCCGTTTTGATCGTTCTTCTCTCTGTTTGTCACAAAGCACTTGGTATGATCTCCCCCCATTTTTATCATTTCTGATAAACAAAAGACAAAAATGAAATTGGGCTGAGCTCCTCATTTTACCATCTAGATTGAATGATACAAATATTTTATTCTGTAAAATCTACTGAAAAGAGTATCCAATGAAATAATTTATTAAGTTTATTGAACAATGAAATTCATATAATTGGATTACATTTATCTTATAAAGTAAATAAATAAATTACCTATATTAAAAATTATATTATCCGTTCAATTTTCTAAGATAAATTTGATCAAATTAATCAAAAATTTTATACTTGTACAACTTTGTGGATAAACCCCACAAATGAATGGTTGTTTCAAGCACTAGGTGAGCCTCATAGTAGCCATGTTAATTAAGTAAACCAACCTCCTGCCCATGTTTGGAAAAATTGTGATTTTTTTTTTTAATTTTTTTAAAGGTATTGTTTGAATAGTATAAAATGTGATTGTTATAATAGGGACCAAATTGACATATCGTGCAAACATCAGAGACTATTTATATAATTTATCTTCAATTATTTTTATTTTTTATTTGGATCGGAAACTGATAGTTTTTTATTTTTATTTTTTTTTATAAATAGCTGTTGGAGTCAATTTATATGGTGAAGTTAACTACTAGGCAAATCATAATGAGTCTTCAAAGAGTAAGATGAATAAATTTGTTTAATAATTCTTTGGCTATTTAATTCTGTAATTTTTAGTTTTCTTTATGTACATCAAATCTGTTTCAATGTTACTATTTATTTTTCATTATGAGTATTCTAAGTCTCTTAGGTTTCTACTTTTCTATTTTGTGTGCTTCTGTATATACTTATGCTTAAATAGTTTTGGAGTTTGTCCTGTTTGGTATGTTTCTATTTGGTATTTTTTTCCACTTACTTTTTATTTTATTTTTGTTTCTCCTATTCAATTTTTTGGTTTGGCACAGGTGTGGAGATCTGTCACGATCCAAGAGGATATGTTAATTAAGTAAACCAACTTCCCTACCCATGTTGTGTGTTTTTTTTTTTAAGGTATTATTTGAGTAGTGAAAATTGCAATTGTTAATTGACATATGGTGGGTAGGCTTATCAACCATAAAACCCATAATTCAATTTTTAAAAACTTTTGGGCTTTTTGGGGCTTTTCCCCATAATTCAAGGTCATGAATATATGTATTTTTTATTTTTTGTGATACTGTTAATTATACTTTCTGTAATACTAAATATTCCAACTAAATCAAACATTATTTTGCGTTGTATTTTTTGGTGTAATAATGTAAATTTTTTTGCAGGTTGCTTTATGACTTTGTATTGTTCAGAATAAACAACTTCTCGGGTGATTCTTTATCTACACTTATCTACTCTGACTGTAAGTATTCTAGACTTATTGATGGATTATTGTAGAGTTTTCTTTTTTTTTCCCCCCAATTTAGAGTTGAGTATGCTTTATTTTCGCCTAAAGTTTCTCTCTCAAATTTTCTTTTTATTTAATTTTTTAAAATTATGATATATCAGTTGTGATGAATCAATTCTTCATTGTTTTGTCCAATTATCTCTCTCAATTTATATATATATATATATATATATTCACAAAAACACACACACACAAATTTAAGAATAAAGAAAAACCCAAATAAGAAATCCAAATAAAAATAATAGAAGAGACAATAGATAGACAAGGAGGACACCACGAGTTATTAAAATTAAAAATAGATATATATTTTTTTCATGATCTTTCTCATAACATTATTTGAATTGTTCTTAAAAAAAATTAGAAAACAAAACTTACAAATATACTTGAAGAAAAATTACAATTATTTTAATATTATAATTATTTTTTTAGTTGCATAAATATGTGCAACATTGTTACAAGGTAATTTATTTATAGGTTTGTATATATAACAAAAGTTACGTACTTCATTTTTTGCCAATTCCATCTTATTTTTTGTAGTTTAATGTTGTCATATATGTATGTCCAAAATTACATCAAAACAATTTGAAGAGATTGTTGAATGTGACGTTTGATTGCGAGTATTTTTATTTTTATTTTATATTTAATTGAATGTTTGAAAAAATTATATTCAATTTGTTTTTAAATTATATTTCAAGTTGTACACGCTTTGGCTCATCATTACCAGTTAATCTCTTTCACTTGCAATTTTATTTAATTCTCTACAAAATGAGATTAGTACTTAAAATAATATGCATTATAAAAATATAAAAATAAACATATGAAAACACTTACATAAAGATAAAAAGCTTTGTGAGTATATGAGTGACATTGCAGTTAACATTCTCATAATATATTTTTCCTGCCTTTTACATAATTACATATAAATAACTAAAATATATTAAATTAGTATCTAATGTATAATGTAGGCACATTTTAAAAATAACTAGATTTCATCTACGTAACACATATTACTAAAAATAAACAGTTAAAAAAACTTACATAAAAATACAAAGCTCAGGATATATTATTATTGTCTTTTAGATAATTTTATATAATGTAGGCACATTTTAAAAATAACCGGATTTCATCCACGTAAGTGTTAGTTTGCTAATAATCTCAAGAAAAATGAATCATGATTACCCTAACACATCAAATTTGAGACATGTACAACAACAAAATCGTGAACGACGGCGTTTATACCTATTAGAAATTGGGCGCCCATGTGGCATGACCCTTTGAACCTTTTGAACCTTATCCATGTAAGTTTGAATTCAAATTCAAACTTATTTGGATAATCATTCAGGATATCTGTATCTATTATATCAATAGATATGGATAGATGGATAGATAGATATTGGTTGATATATATTTAATAATATACATCTGATATGATGAGAGATACGTATATCAGATACGTTATGTGATTTTTACCCATAACCTTTTTTCCCAGACTCTCTCTCTGACTCTCTCCCATTAAACAACGATCAAACCATTTTGCATTG